TTCATTTGCTGACATAGAGTGCAACCCTCAACATATTTGCGGATAAATGTGCCCATTCCAGGCCACCAATAATCTCGTTTGACTAATTCTTCAGCCTTAAAGCATCCTGGGTGTCCGGTGGTGGGGTGATCATGGTGAAGGTGGAGAATGCAGTGTCGGAGATGAATGGGGACATAGGCACAGTTTTTATAAAACAAGATACCATCATTGAACTTCCAGTCAGAGAGGGCGGATTTCATAGGGGTGCATTTAACCCATCAAGGGCTTGTTGCACAGCAAGGATGATGGGATCAGAGAGAGGATCCGTGGATTTCAGGGCATTGGCGAGGTCATTGTCAATAAGACAGGAAAACATGGTGTCCAGGAGAAGTGTGACATCGGAGTTATCCAAGGGATCAGAAGAGTGGTCAGGACAGCATGAAAGAGCATCAGGAGCAGCAAGTTTGCTTCCTGGGACATGGTGAAGTTCAAGATCGAATTCATTCAGGGTTAACTGCCAACATGCTTGTCGGTGAGTGAGATTCTGTGCAGAGTGGAAGTAGAGGAGATTCTTATGATCAGTGAAAATGATGACAGGGTGAGGGTTTCCTTCAAGGTAGTGTCGCCATGCTTTCAAAGCATGGATAATAGCGAGGAGTTCACAATCATAGATCTGGTAGTTTCGTTCAGCAGGATTAAAAGATTGAGAGAGATAGCCGCATGGGTGGTAAGCGCCATTCTTGTCAGTCTGAAGGAGGACTGCTCCAGTGGCAATGAGTGAAGCGTCAATTGCAAGGGCAAATTGTCGGGAAGGGTCAGGATTTCGGAGGACAGGTTCTGATAAGAAGCACTGCTTCAGCTTCTCAAAGGAATCAGTGCATGATTGTGACCATGTGAAGACAGCATCTTTCTTTGTTAGATCTATCAAGGGTTGTGCAAGGTCAGAGTAGTGGGAAATGAAGTGGCGATAGAAGTTGCAAAATCCAAGGAATGAGCAGACTTCTTTTACTGAAGTTGGAATCGTCCATTGGCTGATACCAGATAGTTTGGCTGGATCCATTGCAACTTGTCCTAGGCGAATGATCATTCTGAGATAGTCAACTTCTTGAGCATCAAAAGTGCATTTTTCAGGTTTCAGAAAAAGGGTCTCTTTTCGGATGATGTCAAGGATATGGCGTGTCCGTTTCTGGTGTTCTTCTAGGGTCTTTGAGAAAATGAGGATGTTGTCCATATAAACGATCATCCAGCCTTCAGCAATTTCTTTCTGGAAGGTCTGATTCATATAGGCTTGGAATGTTGCAGGGGAGTTGCATAAGCCAAAGAACATGACTTTTGGTTCGAAGAGTCTGAAAGAGGTGGTGAATGCTGCTTTCCAGCAATCATCAGGATGGATCAAGATATTATTATATCCGGATCAGACGTCCATCTTGGTGAAGTATTTGGCATCCCTAAGCTTGGCAATGAGAGGAGGGATCAAAGGAAGGGGATAGGCATTCTTTATCATCCATTCGTTGATGTAATGATAGTCTTGACAAGGTCGTAAAGATCCATCTTTCTTTCCTACAAAGAAGAATCCGCTGGCTTGCAGAGATTTTGAAGGTTGGATAAAGTCTTTAGTGATGTGTTCATCAAGAAAAGCTTTCACAGCATCAGTTTCCTTTGGAGACAGGGGATAGGTTTTCGCAGATTTTGGGATATATCTGGGTTTGGTTTTGATTCTGTGGTCAACACCTGGTCGGGATGGAGGAAGTTTGTTTAAGCCATCTTTGGTGAAAACATCGGTGAAGTCGTGAAGATAGTCAGGGACAAGTTCTTCAAAAGTCTTCTTTTTCTTTTCTTGGGCATCTTTGAGAGCGAATTCTTGAGCTTTATTGCTAGTTTTCAAGTATTCTTCATCTTCTTTGGTCTTCTGTGCATAGATCCAGGAGTTTCTTAAAGGAGATAGAGCTGCAGCTCGTCGGATCTCAGAGGCAGAAGTGCCATCGCAAGTGAGGGGTGTGTCAAAGGAAAGGTTTTTGAAAAGAGTAATAGAAGAGCCGTCTTTGGCATATTCGATTAATACTTCATCGTCATTGATGGGATAAGTGACAGGGTCATCAACTTTTCGAAGGAAGGTTGGTTCTGTGGGAATGTCATCCCAGACATCGTCTTTGGTGTCATATTGGGGTAGAGGATCTTCGTCAGGATCTGGCCAAAGAGGTGGGAGTGGTTCTTCTTTTTTCTTTTCTTTTCGTCATTCAAGAGTTCTTTTCCCATTTACAGGAAGTGGAGCACAGGCAGATTTGAATTGCTCCAGGTCTTCTTCTTCTTCGATTGTGACTTTTCTGCAGGATGCAGGAGGGAAGCCCCATTTCTTCTTGAATACTTCTTCAAGTCAGAGTGATCTAGGAGTAGAGGGAAGTCGAAGGGTATCTTTAGCCCAATCGATATCAGGGTTCATGGCGGAAAGCCAGGGTTTCCAAAGGAGGATCATATTGTTGTCACTCATATTCATGACATTGAATTTTCCGATCATGAGTCAATCATCAATCTTGATTGCAAGATGACAATAGTGGGTGATGGGGTCCTTGGAAATTTTTCCATCAGCAGTTCAGATAGGAAAAGGGGTTTCAAAACAATGCATCTTGATTCTGTGTTTTCTTACAAACATCCAGTGGATGAATGTGGCAGCTGCACCGCAATCGACAACAGCGGTGGTTTGCAATGATTTATTGGGGTGTATGGAGGAAAAGATGGTCACTGGGACCCTTAATTCTTTAGTTTTTCCTACATTGTGTGCAATACATACATCAATACAAGGAGTGGCTAACATTGCAGTAGGCTCCTGGTTCAAAAATCCATTCTTCGGGCATTGAGATCTTCATCGTCATCAAGATCTTTGATCTTGCTGGTGTCTTCTTCTTTAGGTGCTGTACACCTTACTGTTTGCTTTCCTTTATAGTTATTCTTTCTGGCATCTCCGTTTCAGGGGTGGAATTCTTGATTGTTAGATCTGTGACCAACCTTTCCACAGGAAAAGCATTTTCCTTGCTTCATGTACTCTCTTTTATCATTCTCGGAGAGGCGATCAACGTCCATGGCATTAGGATCATTGTTTCTAGGGGTGAAGCATGGAGTGGATCGGTGATTGTTGAATCATGTGTTCTTGTTGTTGTTCTGGGGTCTATGGGCAAGGAGAAGCTGATAGGAGTTCTCAATAGATATCACCTTTTTGACTATTCCGTCAAGGGTGTCAGGGATTTCTCCGGAGTTGCAGAGTTTCGTAATGAGTGGCTGTTTAATGCCTCAGAGGAAGTAATCTTTCTGAGCATTGAAGCTATAGATCTTAGCTTGGTTACAGAGCTGTCAGAATGTGGCTATGTACTTGCTTAAGTCATTGCCTTGTTTAAGGGCATGGAGCTGATGGAGCGCAGTACCAGCTGAATCAATTGGGTTAAAGGTTTCTTCAAACTGGGAGACAAATTCATCCCAAGTTCCATATCCATTCTTTTCTCCATGGGTGGATGTGGGGTCGAGTTGCTGGGCATGTTCGATGAAATCTTCCATCCATGCTGCAGCTGTGCCTTCTTTCATGAATGAAAGGGCGAAGGCAATCTTTCTAGTGTCAGTATCATAGATTTCGTCATTTGTGTCTAGATAGAGAGTGACAAGACGAAGGAACTTTGAGGTTCCATCTCTGTTTCCATTGAAGTCTGGTGGGGTACAAATCTTTCTTTCAATTGGTTTAGGCATGTCATCGTCAGTATCTGTGTCTGTGTCTGGTTCAGGGGTTGGGAATCTGGGTGGTGCTACCGGTTCAATGGGCGGAGCATCAGGGATTTCTTCGTCTCTGTCTTCTACAGGTGCTGGTGCACTTGTTTCAAAATGAGAAACGATAGTGCAGTGTGAAATGGAAGAAGGGCCTGGGACAGCAAGGGTAGGGAGGACAGGAGTGTGGGGAGTGTCAAAGGATCCTTGCAACAAGGAGGTTTGTCTAGGAGAGTTGGGTGGATAGGGACTGTATGGAATTCCAGATTGTTCAGAGAAAGCCTTCTTGCTTTTCTTGGAGGGTGCCACTTTGGCAATCAATCAGTTTCGTGGGTTCAAAGAGTAAAGCCCTACAGATGGAGGGGTTCAAAGGGGAAACTTGAATCTTTTGTTACGAACTCAGGTAGAGCGTCATTCCAATAACAGAATCAAGATCAGGGTCGATCAAGGGCTAAGCCTTATCAAGTCAATGCCTCCCTCAGGAGCGATCATCTAGACTCTCGCAGGATCTAGAGTTCAAATGGGACAATGGCTAGCCTCCTTCCCAAGGAGCTAGAGTTCAAGTATCGAAGAGAACCGAGTAGATTCAAGTTAGAGAAAATATAAGTGGTAACTAGGGTTTATATACATAAGGAAATTGTGCACAGACCAGGCTGGGCAAAGGGTAACAACTACTGAGAAAGGAAGGTTCATAGGAAAACAAGGTATGAGTCAAAGATAAGGGAGACCATGAGGAAACAGCACAGTGAAAAGGAAGTGTTAGGAGTACAGCCATATAGGAGTCCGCAGTGATGATGGGAAAAAGAGTGGGGCACTGTAACAGGGCTGGAGCGTTTCTGCATGGTACTGGTTGAAGGCCCCCTGCAAGTTGTCACTGGAGTAGGATTGCAAGTTACCAGAGCAGAAGTCCCCCTGCAAGTCACCAGCATGACATGGTGCATAGTATGGGGATGGTAGCATTGCTGGCTCAGCGTGGGTAGGTGGATCATGTGCAACTTCAGCATGTCCAGGGTACCATGACTTGGAGGTGATGGATGATGATGATGATGAAACAGAATTGCCAGGGTATTCAGATGTTAGAGATGGTACAGAGTTGGAAGATGATGTGGAAGGGGGTGCCATGGGGTGGCCTTCAGTGTGTCGGTATAGTTCTGAGGATGAGGACAGAACATATATCTTGTACTTCTTCATTGATGATAACTCCCCCTTATTTCTTCTAAGCTCATTTCTGTAAACACAAGGTCAATACAATATATCCAGGGTACCCCACATGCTTACAGGCATTCATCATGGTGGGCATTCATGTGGGGCATGAATTCACCATCGTCGAGCTCAGGATGGGTTTCATAATTCTTCATTGCTTTCTGGACTTCCAATGCAAATGGGCAGAACTCCTCTGTGGTGAATTGGAGGACATTCTTGACTCCCGATAGTCGACTTTCCGTGGCACACCGGATAACACATAACAACTAATAGTGGTGACAAATAATACATCAGTAATGTTGCAAAACGTGAAAGAATTGACTTACTGCAGCGCCCATTAGCCCATACATATGCCATGAGAGGGGTAAAACCAATGCCTCCCACTTTGGGTCGAGGAAGGGCGAATTACATCCAAACCAAAACTCGTGGTGAAGCTGAAAAAATGCTGGAGATGAAAACACGAGTACCTTCCCCCATACCAGATCCCAGCCATTGAGGAAATATTCATGGAGATTGGTTTCATCTAGAATGATAGTCACACAATGTTGTAAGGCTTTGTTGGTCATCTCTTTAGGGTCAATGCCAAGGTCAGGAAGGCACCCTTCAGCAGCTAGAACTAACTTCCCTTGTATGTTGGCAAGTTCATCGAAGACGAGGGACATGACCCCATCTGTGGGCACAGTAACTAGGTGACATGAATCAGTATAGTAGTACTAGTCATAGTAGTAATGAATAAAACATACCATGCTTAGTCGCTGCACATGCTTGAGAAATGCACTCCTGAGTAATGCCTTCAGTCTCCAGTTTCTCACGATTTTGTGCCCAACCAGTCTTGAGTATCATGTTGATCACGAGAAGCTTGCGTGCCTGGTAGATATTGGCCTTGTCCTGAACATCGTAAAACCCTATTGCTTTGGCATTGGCAGAGTTTGTATGTCTTGGGAGGCGCCTTGCATGTTGCAAACCATCATCATCATCTAGTGACATCGTACTGACTGATGCCCTGGAGGATGACTGATAGCTCGGGGTGTGTGAGGATATCAAATAAGGTTGCAGCCAATGACTCAGATCTTCATGTTGTGAAGGTTGCAAGGCTCCAGACTCATCTCCAATGGGTTGCACCCTGGATGCACTACCATGACTGCCAGTGCGTCCACGACCACTCTGGCTACGACTCAGAGGCATAAGGCTAGTACTAGTACTAGTAGGCAAATTGAGCAGGTAAATTACTCAATCATCTGCAATGAACAGGCTTACCTTTAAATAAAAGGCCACGGTGATCAGAATCTATGGCATGAGGCCTGGGCATGATTTGGACAGACTGCTCACTGTAGTAAGCTCAAGTTCTGGAATTGATGGCATGAGGCATTACTAGTGTTACAGTACTTAATCAGATTGTTATTGGAGTCACGCGTTCACCAGTGGAAGCAACCCCAGAAAAATACAGCAATAAATCAAATTTCATAATTGTACCACCAGGCATCATGCTGGCAGTACTACAAAAGACTACATATGTACTTATGTACTCTATAGACGTACTCGGGCTCAGGGATCTGAATCATGGAGTGATTGTTGGAAATGAAATGACTGCTTAGCACTTGCTTGCCTGTGACTTCCCATCAACACTGCCATCGCATTCATTCAAGGTCAGAAAGGCAAGGGTTGCTGCTGTCATCAGCCGCCTCATGATCACCGAGACTGGAGAATATCCTGCCATTTCTGACCTCCTTGCCACATTGTCTCCCTTTGCTTCCTATGACCAACACCCCTGCATCATAAAGGTCGTTTCAGGAGGAGCCAATTTGCAAGTTGGCCCTAATTAAATGCAATTGGGACTCTTCCAGTTTGTCATGCATGATGGATGTGATTAATCCTAATTCTTCAGTGCGCAGATGTTGATATTCCATCCTGGTAGCTAAAGCCTGGTGACTGACACAAGAGAGCTCAAGCATGCACTCGGTGAAATAGATTGTGGCATTGGTGGATTGATCAGAAGTGAACTATGAAGTGTTTGAGCTTTGAATTCCATTCATGTGAGGGTAACATACTGTTGTGAGCAATGTCTTGGATTTCTTTATAGGAAAGCCCTCACCATCCTCAAGTCCATCATCCTCAAGTAAAGTATACTGGTGTGTCCGCTTGAGAGAACCATGCTGGTTGCCTGTAGTCAATAGAGCATCTGTGGTAAGGGAGCTACCCCTTGAGACGGGGGAGCCACTTTTCACTGGCAGGTTATTCTTCAGAATGGGTGAGCTACTCTTCTGAGTTGGGATGAGTGAGTTATCCTTTGGGATGGGAGAGCTACTCTTCAGAATGGGGGAGCTACCCCTCAGAATGGGGGAGCTAGTAGGCACCACAGATGTGAGTGGGGGTGATGCAACAGAAGGTAGTACTCTGAAAACATATTGAATAATCAATAAATGGTTCTTGTTGAATAAACAGACCTAGGTTTATTGGGGGTCACCATGACTGGGGAGTTACCAGCCCTTATGGAAAACTTCAAAATGGGAGAGCTATCAGGTGCCTCAGATGTGGGAGGTGATGACTCAGAAATGCTGGAGTGCAAATGACCATGAGTCATGCAAAATGATAGCTCCTCCTAATAGATAAACGTACCTATGTTTGTTTTGGAGGGAACTAGTACTAGTAGTGCTTCTTGACCCGGATGAGCTGCCCATATTGCTTGTAGAAGGCATCAGAGTCTTCATTGAATAGCATGGACTTGCCGCAAGGTTGAAGTCACAACACCAAATTTTCTCATGCCAATTCTTGCAAAAATTGTGTTAAGTGAACTCGAGTCCAGCGCAACTCTCTGCCAGTCAATGGATGAATCGATGATGTCGTGATTCTTGTTCACAGCAGTCATCAAGCATATGTATGCATAGCAGCAGTGACAAGAGTACTATAGTCAGACTTGGGAGGTGAGCTTTCGCAATTCTTGTTCACTGCAATCCTGACATACTATGATAGAACCAGCCTTTATACACAACAACAATGCTGGGAGGACAGTTGTCACTTGAGAGGTGTGTTATGTTGTTCACAACGGTCCTGATAAAGCATGTCTAGTATAGATGATAACAATGCTGAGAGTACTACAGTCAAATTTATTACTTGGGTGACCAAGGAATTGCCATTTTAATTCTAAATGGTTTAGTAACACGACTACAACTGCTACAGGATGTTCTGTAGCAGTCGAAACAATTAGTACTGCACCTCTGCCAGTGCTACTGCGCTTCAATCACTACCAAAAGGACTTCAGAGTGGTTCACGGCATCCCACTAATGTCACTACTGCTGCTACCAGTTGATTCTGGCTTCGATGGTACGTCACAGTCCAGCTTCAACTACAAATAGATGAGTCATTTTAAGTGATGATTATTTGACAACCTTTGTCAACACCAGCCTGAGACAGCTACAAATAGTACAGCCACGGTGGGAGCTGGATCAACTTGACTGTCCGCACCTAAGCTCAATTGATCTTTCCTCCCCTTCTCACTGTGTGAGTCCATGTCCCAGCCAGGTGCAGTAGATGATGTCTCCCAGCCCCCAGGATCATCACAGTTAATAGCAGTGGGGAACTCTCAGGCTGACTCGGAGGGTGTGGCTCGCCAGAGGTGGAAAATTGCTCAATTAGAAGAAAAACTACAGGTGCTGGAGTCAGGGCAGGCAACCAAGTGGAGGTATGATCATCACTTACAGTATCTAGCTCAGTTTGCTCACTATGGCTGTGTTGAAGGGAGACAAATTACTATGTGTCAAAGGGAAGGGCTATCAGACACATAGTTACATTATATGATGCCATTGAAGATCTCATAGCTGAGCACGATAGGAGATGGGATAGCAACGAGTCAGATGAAAATGTGACCGTCGAGTAAGTCTTTCACCTTTCTGAATCTGTTACAAACGTGGTTACCCCCTATCCATTTTCTCTTACCATGTATTATGTCATGACCACACCTTAGTGTGCCATCATTAGACTGACTATTTTCCCTTGTTTGTATTACATCACAATCGCCACGTGCTGTTGTTAGATGACTCACTCTCTTATCTCTGACTCATCTTGATGACGCGTACAATACCGGCCCTAAACCGTCTATACGTCTATATAAACCCGGTCTTGTACTTAGTTAGAACTTCACTTTAATCTACTAGGTTTTACCCAGAACTATCCTTTGCTTAGGACCCCCAATCCTAAGTCATCTGATAACCGATATTCAAGCCGGAGACACTCTCTCTGACTTGTCTTAAGAACCTTACATTTGTAAGGCTTGAACCAGCTTCAGGCGTGCTCTTATCGAGTACCTGTTGTCGAGCCCATCCTAGTCCGCCGTAACAAAAGATTAAAGTCCACCAACCAACCCTCTCCATCAGAGAGGTTATAGAACCAGAAAGAACTCAGCGAGAGAACGATAATGTTCCCCTGAACCAGAAACATCACTTGACTAGACACTCAGGATGTCCACCATCTCCACCTCTCCAGAATTAAAAGCTGGAGCTCCATCTACTTATGATGGGAGTCCTCACCAGGCTCTACGATGGTTGTATGCGGTTAAAGCATATTTTGCACTTAACGCTATGATCTATAACACTGACGATAAGAAGGTCATCACTGCCCTTGCTTATATGACAGAAGGAAGTGCTATGGGTTGGGCACTTACTTTCTACACCGAAGTCGACAACTCCTTGAAACCAAGTTCAAAGAGGCCTTCGTACCAGCTGATGCCATCGGTACCGCCATGAACAAGCTCCGAATGTTGAAACAGATGGGCGACCTCACTTCCTATATCGCCAGTTTTAAAACTCTTGCTGCACAAGCCTCCATGAAGCAAGACGCCGTCCTGATCACGTTCTTCAATGATGGACTGAAGAAAGGAATCATCAACGCCGTCTATCAGATGGAAACCATTCCAATAGATTTCGACAAGTACATCGCTGCTGTCATTAGACTGGATAGCAACTATCAGAGAGGGGTCGCATATCGATCAAACCACCGAACGACCACTAAACCATCGGGACAATGATACGTACCCAGACCCTCCATTGATCGGCATGATCCAAATGCCATGGAGGTAGACCGGCTCACTGAAGCTGAGAGGAATGACCATATGAAGAAAGGACTATGCTTCACGTGTCACCAGAAGGGGCATATGACTAAAGTGTGCCCGCAGAAGAAGAAGATCCCTGTCCGCAGAGAAGAGATAAGTGACAGTGATCAAGAAGATGAAGATACAACGATCCGTCGCCTCGCCGAGGATTTTTGATGTGGAAGACTGGATCGACATCAGTATCTTCCGTACCTATCAGACTTGTACAAAGTATTGGAATCAGAAAGGAACTTCGCGTTCCCATTTCCCTTATTTCTAAAACTCGTCTGAAAACCGTCGAAACAACAGCTGTTGTAGACTCCGGCACCACCGGAACCTTTATCTCCGAAGAGTTTGTTAAAATCCACGGGATCCGCTCTCACAAACTCTCGAAACCATTCCGAGTTACCACTGCGGATGGAAGTTATGTGAAAGGGGGCGCTATCACTCGGTACTGCGTCCTCATCATCAAAATAGACAATCGGTCTATGATCGGAAAGTTTAATATCACGCGGCTTGGCCAGCATGACCAGATTTTACTTGGGATTCCCTGGCTACATGCTATGGACCCCGCAATCTGATGGAAAGCAGAAATGCTGGAACTCCCGAGAACAGAGAAAAGCGATTTGATTGAAGAAGTCGATAAGGAGCGAAAGAAGAATAAACTTCCTCCTCTCTTCCATAAACCGAAGAAATGCGACCTGATCCCAGTGGTAGTGCTGCCGAAGGCGCCTCCTGAATCGGTTGTGATACCCGAGAAGTCAATACCTCGGGCTACTATCGAAGAAATCCCTGATGAGGATGTATTTCCAAATCTTGATCCAATCCCTGATGATGATGATGAATCCTTCGATACCAAAGAAGATGTATGGACGGCGGATTATGATTATGCACCATCAGTGCAAGAAATCTCAACGTATCGCCTAGAGGATGATGAATTCCTAGTCGAATACCCTACCAACACTTCGGAACTCCAGGTAATCACCAACATTTCGCTCGACACGCCGTTAATGAAGGACGGAACCAGCATTGCGGAACAACAGACCATGGTTACCCCTCTGACATGACCCACTGAATATATCAAAACCAGTAATAAAGCCCAGCAATTTGCATTGGCCGCTGGGCTCGAACAAAAGAAAAAGTCCTTCGAAGAACTTGTTCCCACCTACCTTCACAACTTCGCCAATATCTTCGCAAAAGATGGCCTCAATCAGTTACCTCCAGAATGGCCTGGGATAGATCATCAAATAGAAACTAAACCTGGTTTCATTCCCAAAATGTCCAAGGTATACCCATTATCGGAAAAGGAATGAATGGCGGTCAAAGCATTCATTGATGAAAATGTAAAGAAAGAATTCATCTCAGAATCGAAGTCACTGCAGGCCAGTGGTTTCTTCTTCGTTGGAAAGAAGAGTGGAGATCTTCGCCCCTGTCAGGACTACCGATACATCAATGAATGGACAGTTAAGAACACTTATCCACTCCCGTTACCACTCTCCCTCGTTGCTCGGTTACACAGTGCCAAATACTTCACTAAGATGGATGTTTGTTCAGGGTACAACAACATCTGCATCCACCTGGAAGACCGATGGAAGGCCGCCTTCACTACTGAATATGGTCTCTTCGAGCCAAATGTCATGTTCTTTGGCCTTTGCAACTCCCCTGCTACCTTCCAGGCATATATGAATAAAATGTTTCAACAAGAAATAAATGAAGGATGGCTTGTCATATATATGGATGACATTTTGATCTTCTCCAATGACCTTGCCTCTCACCACGAACGAACACGACGTGTCCTTAACATAATTCAATGAGAAAGGCTTTTCCTTAAACTGGAGAAATGCACGTTTGATGCTCAAGAAGTGGAGTATCTTGGAATGATAATTCACCCTGGATGTGTAGCAATGGATAACGCCAAAACTGATGGTATTCGCGACTGGCCTATCCCTACAACGGTCAAGGAGGTTCGGTCCTTTTTGGGTTTTTGCAACTTCTATCGAAACTTCATCTCCCACTATTCTGACATCACATGACCATTGATCGACCTCACCAAGAAAACCGTCAAATTCCTATGGACAGAACAGTGCATGTCCGCTTTTACCACCTTGAAGGAATGCTTTTTGAAACAAGCGGTTCTCCGAAACCCTGATCCTAGTCGACAGTTCGCAGTCGCAACTGATGCATCCCTCATTGCCATGGGTGCGGTATTACTTCAAACTGATGATAATGGAATTTATCACCCATGTGGATACTTGTCGCAAACCCTGAACCCGGCAGAGCGCAACTACCAGATCTTCAATCGCGAACTCCTCGCAGTCATTTGCGCCCTAACTGAATGGTGCCATTACTTAGAAGGAAACCCCCACCCGGTCATCGTATTCATGGACCATAAGAATCTCCTATATTTCAGAACTGCTCAGAAGTTAACTCGCCGACAGGCGCGATGGCAGTTGATTCTATCCTGCTATGACATCGAACTGCATCATGTTGCGGGAACTAAGCTCGTCGCCCTGACCACAGATCAGACTCTACCAATGATAATACCAATGAAACTCTCCTCCCTGACTCCATGTTTGTCCAACTTCTCGATGTTGAACTCATGACGACACTCGCTAACCCAGACCCCACCGACCCCGACCCCATCTTCACTGCTGCCTCTGATGCGCTAGATGGACTCTCCCTTCCTCCCATGAAATCGGCTCTCTCCGATTGGGTGATTAAAGATGATATCCTCTACTATAAAGACCGTGCCTATGTCTGTCCTGCTGGGCGGCGCCTTATTTTAGACCGTTGTCATGACCATCCCACCGCTGGCCACCCCAGTCATTTTAAGACTGAAGAATTGGTCAAGCGTGATTTTTGGTGGCCCTCCATGGGTACCTATATCTGAAAACATGTGGAGGGTTGCGCCCTTTGTCAGCAGATGAAGTCAGACACGCATCCGACAACCCCTCCCCTGGTCCCCATTCCGTCCGTCGCCACCACTCCCTTCGCACAGGTCTCCATTGATCTCATCACCGATCTTCCCCCCTGCGCCAGCTTTGACTCTGTAATGGTCGTGGTCGACCATGGCCTTACGAAGGGGGTAATTCTTATCCCTTGCACTAAAACCATCACGTCAGAAGGAGTTGCCAAGAAATTCTTCAAATATGTCTACCAACGATTTGGCTTGCATGAGAAAGTTATTTCGGATCGTGGACCGCAATTCGTATCGAAATTCTCATGAGCCCTCGCCAAACTTTTGAAATACGACATAGCGGCATCCACCGCTTATCACCCTCAAACCGATGGCCAGACCAAACGACTCAACCAAGAGCTTGAAACGTACCTTCAAATCTACTGTCGGAACCACCCAGAAGATTGGGTTGAACATCTCCCAATGGTGGAATTTGTACACAATCACCGCAAACACGATTCCCGCAACGCGTTGCTGTTCTCCTTGATGATGGGCTACGAACCACGAGCCCTCCCTCATATGCTCCCCGACTCTACCGTCCCTGCAGCAGAAGAGAGACTACTCTCCCTCCAGAAATCCTGAGAAGAAGCCCTTTCGTGCCACAACCTCACTATGCAGTGAATGGCTGAATGCACTCACGGACAGAAGTACCACCCATGGAAAGTAGGAGATAAGGTTTGGCTATCTGGGAAGAATCTAATTACCCAATTGCCATTGCGGAAACTTGCACCCAAGCGATATGGCCCTTTCACAATCACTGCCGTCCTCTCCCCCGTCACGTTTATGCTTCAGTTACCTCCACAGTGGAAAGTTCACCCCACATTCCATGCTTCCGAGCTATCGTCCTATCGTGAAACAGAGGTTCACGGACCGAACTTCCTTGAACCACCCCCTGACGTCATCGATAACGAAGAAGAATATGAAATTGATGTGATCTTATCACACAAGGGGATGGGTAAACGAAGACACTATCTTGTATCTTGGAAAGGATATTCTTCTGCCAGTAACGAATGGATTCCAGAAGGAAATCTCACTAATGCTTCCAACATCCTTACTGCCTATAAGAAAGCCCATGGGCTATAGATTTTCTAACAATGTCCCACATCGAATGACTACGTCTCTGCATCCTCCACATTGAAGAACTTACCGCCGCTATGAACACTGTAGCTGAAGGAAACGCCCACCCATTGACACTCCTTGATTATCAAAACACTACTGCCACCAACCTTGCCCAGCACGCATCATCCTCCGTAACATCACCACCAGCCTCCGACTCCACCCTAACCCTCACCGATGACTCTGTCCTCACTGATTACTTCTCGGTCATTGACCAAGTGGAAACTAGCGCCCTGTTTGAATCTGCTATCACCTCCCAGCAGTACGCCATAGAAATAGATCGTCTCCTTGGAGAATGGGGAGCAATATCTAGCGGTCTTATAATCAGAATTATCAGAGATGCCAGTCTTATTGACCGCACCGCCGCCCTCCTTGATGATGAGCGCCATCAAACCATCTTCTGCCATCTCCACATACGCATCCATAATACTGCGATCCGTCTCCTGCCTGAGGAGACTAGAGATGCTATTAGAGAAGCTATCCACATCATTACCGAGCGCATTGCCCTCAACCCCGTTGCACGACCACCATCCCCTCATATCGTTGTCCCCATACCACCGCCAGCTCCTGCTACGACTGCCGCGGAGCATCAGGATGATAATATCCCTCCTATTGCTGTACTCCACATACCAGCTTCTCCTTCTCCTGACCCCATCATGCGTACTACACGACGACTCCCACTCAAACGACGATCCTCATGCCTCGCCGCTAAGCAAGCTTCCTCCGTCTCCCCCGCTAAGGCTCCACTTAAACATTCTAGATCGCCTTCCCCCCCAAACCAATCTTCCTCCATCACAATCGTAAAAACGTCACCAGCTGACAACGTCATATGCCGCAACTGTCACGTCGCCAGACATCGCCATAAGAACTGCCCCGCATATTACTGCAGAGTTTGCAAGGAGTACGTGCCTGGTCATTTATCGGTTTTCTGTAAAGAGTTGAAGGGGGAAGCAGTCATTCCATTGGTATGGACCAATGTAGGTTTTTACAATGCTCTCGCTCGATGGGAGGTCGAGCAAGACGGTATTGCTCATGCCGCCGCAATGGTGGACCAGACCACCATCACTGAAGAGCAGGACAACCTGCTCTATTCAAACTATGACGCGGATCCCATCTACTGGGCCAACCAAGATAGTTGAAGTTGGTGACTTCATCCTTAAACGAGGGGTAATGTTACAAATGTGGTTACCCCCTATCCATTTTCTCTTACCATGTATTATGTCATGACCGCACCTTAGTGTGCCATCATTAGACTGACTATTTTCCCTTGTTTGTATTACATCACAATTGCCACGTGCCATTGTTAGATGACTCACTCTCTTATCTCTGACTCATCTTGATGACGCATACAATACCGGCCCTAAACTGTCTATACGTCTATATAAACCCGGTCTTGTACTTAGTTAGAACTTCACTTTAATCTACTAGGTTTTACCCAGAACTATCCTTCGCTTAGGACCCCCAATCCTAAGTCATCTGATAACCGATATTCAAGCCGGAGACACTCTCTCTGACTTGTCTTAAGAACCTTACATTTGTAAGGCTTGAACCGGCTTCAGGCGTGCTCTTATCAAGTACCTGTTGTCGAGCCCATCCTAGTCCGCCATAACAGAATCAGTAAATTCAAGAGTTCATCCTCACAGTCAGCAGCATTTGCAATTCGGATATGTCGCCCTTAATGGCACCCTCCCATGGTTTCAGCAAAGGACTTCAGAGATAGAGTACAACGAATACGCGCAAATGTTAAAAAAGGTGTGGTTTTCTGATATAAATAATTTACTATATGCTAAACTGTTATGTAGCTTAGGCAGGGGGCTGATGGCACTTGGGGAGATGACACCTCGAAGCTCAAGAGCCTCGTTGCTGACTGGGTGAATCGTGAATTGAAACCTAATCCCCCCATTGATCCCAATGACAAAAACTGCAGAGGATTCATCAATGATGCCTGTGGTAGACTACTTTGCCCAACCAAGTTGGACTGGAGCAACCCAATGTAATTATCTTATTCTGCATTTTACATAACACTGACTGTCTGCCAGCGTCAGAGCAGGGATCAGGGATCGTGTGGATGGCTATGTCGTGATGGAGATGTCCTGGCCAGCATTTCTGTATGAAAAGTATACAGCCAATCAAGACAATCTAGAGGAGGGCCTATTTAAGAGCAGTCTTTTAGTCCAAGTTTGTCATCCGATTTAGAGCTCAACAAAGATCTAACATTTAGCAAGCCTTCAAAGCTATATTCACGTCTCCCTCCTCTGCCAAGGAGGTCGCCAATGAAGGCAATGGGGCCGATATTATTGCCAACAACTGATGCGCCAATAGGGATGTGTATTCTGGCAAGAAAGTCAAGATGCACATAGCGCAAATAATCAAAATGCATAAAGTCACTCCCCGTTCGATTGCCTATGTATCATGTCAAGTAAGTATCAGTTTTTCTAATTCCTTGCCAAGCACTAATAGTGTGTAACAAGTTGCGATTTGCCCTTTCTTCTGTGACCTCGTGGCGCTCTATTGATGGTGACTTCGACTATACCCCGTTTTGGCACAGCATCGTAGATTTCTTTGAACGGCCCCCTGGTCACACAGCGTGGTGAAAAGTTGAGCGACTCCTGGCATGGTGGACGATGTGCGTTGTCCACATACTCAACAGTCCTCAGCTGATTTCCATTTCTCAGGAAAGTCTTTGGAACAAGTCGTCGTGCGGAACTCAGTGACGGGGCGAAGGCTAATATGTGAGTAAATGCGCTAGCCAGGCAAAGGGCGCAACTAGATGATGCCGCTTTCGATTCAGACTAACTCTTTTCTCGTGCCAGTTACTTTGCGGGGCCTACTGCCCTGATATTTGATGTCCCACCTTAACTTAGATATCTAAACATTTTAGAATACTTAATTGTTGTAGTGACGCAGCTTATCATTTTAATGTGATGGTTATCCAACTACTTGTTTAATGTGAAGGTCTGGCAGCAAGGCTGTATCATGTGTCTGAGATGCGACATATTGTTCTCAGGTCTCTACCGGTTCGAGAAAACACTGTATACATCCGAGGCGATAACATCCTGCTCATCATTCCTATATACAGACGGGAAGTATAGAAATGCGATGGGGGGAAAGCAGCACGAGAATGTGGGAGGTTAGCACAAATGGCTAGCATTGCCCAGTCATAGCATCATTGTGCCATCGACTAGTAGAATGACCGGGGCTAGAAAATGCAAACATGAACACACCAGCTCGAACATCGCGGTCGCTATGTTTTTTGGATTTGTGCACAAAGGTTAGCACAAATGGCTAGCATTGCCCAATCATGACATCGTTGTGCTGTCGACTAGTAGAATGACTGGGGCTGGAAAATGCAAACATGAACGCACCAGCTTGGACATCGCGGTTGCTATGTTTTTTGGATTCGTGCTGTAAGGACGCTACAAATACGAGAAATCACCATAGAACAGTTTAAGTTCTAGAGCGCGGATCCTTTGGTGTGATTTGGGTGAGTCGAAGCGGGACATAGGTTGTTTGTCGCTCGCTTGGTGAACATACCTCGGCCAGTGCGCAAAGGTAACGCTTTTTCGCACGAATTCCCAACTGATATATGGTAGAAGATCGTTAAACATCTCACACATCATGCGTTAACATTCAAAGTGGCACATATTAGTTCAACCATTGGCTTTTCCGAACAACAATCTGTTCTCGCTCACTTGGTGGACAACCGTCATTTTCTAGAAGATCACCTCTTCTCCTTTTGGTTGCCAAATCGTCCACCAGTTCACTGATTTTGAAGCGCGTCGCGAAAAGTGCTGTCGCCTGCATGGGTCAAACCATGCTCGTCATCTGGAAGGCACTCATCACATACTTCTTGTCTGGAGGGCATGGACTTTCACTTTTAGCTTCGAAACTGTTAACCTTCCTTCAGATGTTAGGCACTTCGCACAATAGTGACGAGCCTTCAAGCAAGTCGCGAAAATGACTGTCGCCCACTCGAGCCAACACGTACTTGTCATTTGGAAGATGTCGGCCTTCACTCGTAGCTTCGTAATCGTGAGCCTCCCTTCTGATGTGGCATTCTTGATCAATCTAGCATAAGTCTAAACTTTTGCCACCCCTTCACTTCAACTTTGAGTTTAAGGGATATCACGACCCTTTCCCGATTGTAAACTTTTGTAGGAAAATCAGGGAATGTCCTTTCCTCTATAAGGCCAAACATAACAATGTGATCATCGATAGCAAAATTATACTAGTTCTTGTGATTATGTACTGTATATCGTCATATATGGCATTCTACTCTCCCCGGCAGATCACTGATGTTAGCCATAGGCACCAATACTGGTCCGGTCAACATCATGACCAGATCTACTAGTCATATCTAGCCAGCGACATCAACTCTGCCACCTCAATATTTAGACCGTCTGTATATCCAGATTACCAGGAATAGATGACCCCGTTTGCTTTCCCATTGGCGCGATACATGTAAGTTCAAACAAATAAGTTGTATTAATATCAATTTTCTTCGAGGTGCCGCTTGAAAATGACTATTTATTCGCGTACGAATAGTGAGCCTAAGCGTCTACAATGGTTGGTTCGTACCATATCAATTACCCTCCCCTCGATGGATCTCTATTCCTCCCTGAATTGGTGGAATTCAATGCCCAACATAACTCGGACGTCACTTTCTTTGTCTACGACAAACCTGACAGCAATGACCTAGTCTCTATCTCACACTCACACTTCTATCGAGCTTGTCATCGGGCCGCCCATGCAATTAGGCCAGCCTCCACAGGCGCAGACAAAGAAGTGGTTGCCTTCATCGCGAATTCCGACACCCTTCTTTACCAGACAGTATTCATGGGCATAATCTTCGCTGGGCTAGTTGTATGTACATATATTTTCTGAATGAGCGGGCTTCTGATCATGCTATTTCAAGCCATTCCCCATGTCCCCTCGTAATTCGGCGGCGGCAGTCATGAGCATGATGCAGAAAACAGGATGCCGTCGTATAATCACGACTCAGCACTCTCTTGCTTCCTTGATTGACGAAGTCAAAGCGGGTCTTGTGTCTGACACTCAAACGAGCCAGCTGCAGATCGACGAGATTCCGGCGTTGAATCACCTGTACCCCGCGCTCGTTAGTGGTACTATTACCCCAAATGAGGTCATTGTCCCGTACTCTTTCCCAGGTTTACGGTCGTCTAAGGACGATGTATTATTCTACCTGCACTCCTCTGGCAGCACTGGCTTCCCCAAACCCATTCCAATGAGTAACCTGACTGCCATCCACTGGTGCATGACGCGTGAGTCTGTAAAATAATCTGCACGACGAACAGTACTAAGATGGAGTGCTGTTAGCATATATTGTCGACCATATCGACATTCCCGCTCCTATCCGTATCGGTACTGCATCCTTACCATCATTCCATACATTTGGCGTATATCTTCAGCTGCTCATCCCCATCGCCACCCTGAACAGTGTATCTATTTACCCGCCTACATCCTTCCTCGATCCCTTGGCGGCCCCTGTAGTACCCAACTCGCAAAACATCTTGGACTCTGTACTCAAGACGAAATCAAACGCTTTGACAGTCGTGCCTGCCTTTCTGGCACAATGGGCATTTTTGCCGAGTGCTGTCGATGTTCTGAAGACGCTCGAATATGTTGTAAGTTTGCTGTTGATGCTATGATAAAAAATGACTCGCGTTGATACCAATCGTGATGCAGTTCTATGGTGGCGGTCCTCTCGCGCCTAAGATGGGAAATGCCCTGGTGAATGCAGGGGTCAAGCTTTTTTGTGGTTATGGCGCTACAGAATGTGGTATCATCACTTGTGTCTTCCGAAATTCGGTCGAGCAAAAGTTGTGGGAGTGGGTGCGATTTGGACCAAATTCCAAGATCAGATGGACTCCACAGGATGACGGTACATATGAATGTCAAGTTTTGGTGCGTCTCCGAGTTGATATTTAAACACCCTCTCGGTGTTAAATTGTTTCTCGCAGACAACCCCGACGCATCAAGTGTCGGTAGAGAACCTTCCGGACGTCAAGGGGTATGCTACTTCGGATGTATTTATCAAGCACCCGACAATAGAGGGTCTGTGGAAGATGTACGATTGAAATTTGCGTAATTCATCTTCTCTGACATTTTGCTTGCAGCGTAGGAAGAATCGACGACGTTCTGGTACTCTCGTCTGGGGAGAAGACAGTACCAGCTCCCATGGAAAGCATCATCTGCGCTAACCCCTACGTAAACGGCGCGGTCATCTTCGGCCGTGGACGCAATCAAGTTGGAATCCTCATAGAGCCACGAGCGGGTTGTGAAATTGACGTTCATGACGGAAAACAGCTTGCTGAGTTTAGGAACCGAGTGTGGTAAGTCCCCCAAAAGATCGTACGATGCCGTTCAGTCTGAAGATGTTTTTGAAGGCCGGACGTAGAGGAAGCGAATAAAGAGGCTCCTGCCTTCTGCAGGATCTTCAAAGAGATGATTCTTGTGACACGCAATGAGAAGCCTATGCTTCGAGCTGGAAAAGGGACCGTCAACAAGAAAGCAACCGTCAAGCTGTATGAGGAGGAGATCGATGCCCTGTGGGTATAGTATTCATTCGTCACTCTGCCAACTAGACTTCACGGCCGACAGATATAAAAAGGTGGAGGGTAGCACTAGAGCAGGTATCGATGTACCTTTACCTACAAGCTGGACTGCGGAAAATATCGAGGGATGGCTCAAAGTCCACGCTGCTGCTGTAAACGCCGACAAGGCAATTGATCCTGATGCAGACCTTTTTTCCCAGGGCTTCGACAGGTAGGTCGAAAGCTAGTCAGGCTAGTGCTCTGCTTACTCCGCACATCTAGCCTCTCTGCGACATTCCTCAAAAACCGCATTATAGGCTCTCTCAGCTCGTCTTCGGATCCTGATGTTCAGGCATCAGCATCGCGGATTGACCAGAACATCATATTCTCAAGTCCTTCGATTCGCCGGCTCGCGAGAAGCATCATTAATGCAGTGTTGCAGCGGAATGGTACAGGCACCGTCGACGCCAAGGCTGATATCGAGAACACGATCGAGAGGTATTCAGTCGGATTAGGGAACTCTGTCACAGATCACACCACTCTAGTTAATGGGTGCAGCCAAAGTTATCATGTGGCTGTTCTAACTGGGTCTACTGGTGGTCTTGGATCATACCTGCTTGCAGATCTGCTCCAGCACGAGGACGTGTCTGTGGTATATGCCTTCAATCGCTCATCAAACGGGACATCCATGCAACAACGACAGGAAGATTCGTTCAAAGATCGCGGTTTAGATTTTACCCTGCTTCAGTCAGACAAACTAGTGTATGTAGAGACCGATACATCCGATGATCACCTAGGTCTGGATAAGGAGTTATTTCAGAAGGTTTGCATCATTTTCAGTGCCGTCGAATTAACTAAAGATACAGTAGATCCGCACGTCTGTCACTGTCATTATTCACAACGCTTGGCGACTCGACTTTAACCTGGCGCTCTCGTCGTTCGACTCTCATTTGCGAGGAATGCGGAATCTTATAGACTTGGCTCTATCTTCTCCGCGTCATCCAAAGCCGCGTTTCATGTTCGCATCTTCCATCTCATCTGCTCAAAGTTGGGGTAGAGCGAAAGGCCCATTCCCTGAAGAAGTGGAATACGACGCAGGGATCGCAGTGGGTCTTGGCTATGGCGCGAGCAAGTATGTTTCGGAAAGGGTAAGTCACGAGCTACTTCGGGGGGCATGGATTCTACGAATATTGTTCCAAATAAGGTTCTCGTCAACAGCAAGTTACCGGCAACGTCATTCAGAATTGGACAAGTATCGGGAGGACCCCCGCGAGGAGCTTGGTCCACGACGAACTGGGTGCCGATCTTCGTCAAATCAAGTGTGAGTCTAGGCGCGCTTCCGGAAGCCCAAGGAGTAAGTCCATCACTATCGAGGGTATCTATCTATGACATGCGCGTTTCAGTTTTTGTCTTGGATCCCTCCCCACGCGATATCAAATGCTATTCTTGATGTAGCTTTTGCGGCAGAAGAACCTCCCATCGTGGTGAATCTGGTGCATCCGAGACCGACCGCATGGAAGACTTTGATACAGCCCATTGCGGAAGCCATGGTCGAGCATAAAATCACAAGTTCCCCGCTACCTTTTGTGCCATTCTCGGAGTGGCTCGAGAGGCTCGAGTCGAGTGCCAAGGACGTGAGCGAAGAGACCATGAAGCGCATCGTACGTGTATCTTGATAGCCTGCCAGAACGTCTTCCCACCTAGTCTTGAATTACAGCCTGCTATCAAGCTTCTTGACTTCATGCGTTCCATGGCTCATTCAGACGTAGCGATCAGGGCGTCTGGAGTGATGGACACTGAAGCGGGTTGCATGACTTTATTTGCCACTGCTGTAGCCGAGCGTGTCAGTCCGACGATGAAGGAGCTGAAGGAGCTGTCTTCGGGGACGCGGCACAGTGGGTAGATTATTGGGTGGAAATGGGAATGTTTCAATGAATATATGAGTAAGCGGCGGTTATCGATTGTCTCCTTGTCTTTAACAGCATGGACGGTCAGAACTTGGGAGATTGTACTTGTAGTTGGAGCTTTTAGATTGTTTTTCAGGCAATGCCAGATGCATTTGGGATGCAACTTCGGAACTTTCCAGGTTTTGTCTGTTTGCTCGGCTAGCTGTTTAAATTCTTCACATTTTGTACAACATATAAACCTCTCCTAAATATATATTGGTAACTCCGATGCTGTCAGTACAAGGTGGTGAGCTACAAGTTCAGTGACTTAGTACTCACTCTCATGGTCATGCTGACTAGTATACGGTCACTCAGAATCATGCCGGAGCTTTACTTATGAGACGTGTCTCGAAGATGTTTTTCCTTGTTCTCCTACATTCAACCTTTCTGCAGCAACCGTCATGATCAGTCAATCTTGCTAGTCGTTCAGCAATCATATATGTCAAACTTCTTGCAAGCCCTTCCGTTGACGTGCGATCCGTCCTTCATCTCATCTTTTGATACTTCCCTTAGAACACCAAGTTTCCGCTCTTTCATTCAATTACTATTCACAGAAGTATCTCGTCGCCTTTGCCCATATGACACCAGTAGATCTGGTTCATTATTGGTGCGTCGCAAGGTCTTTCATTTCAACGGGTTTTTGAAGATTTATGCATCTGAGTTTGCAGCGTGCGCCATTCCCAGAATACAGATCTAGTCAACAAACGTATAGACCACGTATCCTTGTCAGTTCTGCCATGTCTGTCACCATTGTAATCACTCCATTGTAGTCGTAGGCTCGCAGCGGATGCCTAGCAACAAGTTTGTTTCAAGGGATCTGTGCGGATGACATCGCTACCTTCCAAACTTCACTCTCTCAATGCAGTGCCTCCGACATTGCCTACTGCCCCAAATCCTACTCCGTTGGACAGCGCCTAATATCGGGCGTTCATCGAGGTCGCAGCATCCTATCATTGTTCTCAGATGACGCTCCGTTTCGAACAGATTGCCGGATCGTGCTGCGAAACTCTACTTAGTTGGGTATCTGTTGTTTATATTAATGTTCTCCGAGAAACATCACCAAGGTAATGACTGAAAATGGAGTCACAGCGTCATCACGTCCGATAGTCTCTAGGAGGCTGCTCTAAATATTCTTGCAGTTGGCTTTGCTGCGTTGCGAGCAGATCACAGGGTTGCTTTTCGAAGTTTCACTCTCCAGGTTCGTACCTTGCACTTATTGAATGCTCATTGTTAATGTTGTCCCAGAATTGTACCTTTCCTCTCGGTGGTGCCAGAATCGGCATCGCAACGTCACCACCTCCCGGAACTTCGGACGATTGAAATGTAGGAAGTTCTGGCAGGTGGCAGCGCTGCCTTCCGAACAGATTGCACTCTTCAAAGCTTGACTTTCCGGGTTCGCACCTCAAAGACTCAGTTTGAACGCTATCGATGCTCTCCAGACACATCAATATTCCTATTGGCAGTTCCTGACATCGGACCGGCAGCGTCATCACCTGCTTGGAGCTTCGACATTTTACATGTGGGGAGATCCTTGCAGTTGGCAGGGCTGCGTTTCGAGTAGACTAGTTGTTCTCCAAAGCTTCACCCTCTAGGTTTGCACATTGATTGGTTCGATGCCTATCCGGACGCTGTCAAGGCTAAGATTGTTCCAAACACTCCTCAGGACATGGTTAACTTAGTACCTGGATATCTCGGGTTGTGCTATTGTCGACACCAATGCCACGGCCTGTTATACTAGTACTAAGCACACCCTACAAACATGATATCGCTTTTCTCTTTGTTTTTCACTTGCCTGGTAAAGTTGGTTATAGGTGAGAATGCTGTATATATAGTACGATTCGTGCACTCCTCCCCAGTTTTACTCCGGTATCTTTTCCGTCATAGTTTTCAAAAACATGGCGATCTATACCAAATGGTAATGCCGTTGAAACCAGCTGACCGGCGATCTGAACACAAATATCCCTTCAACGGTTCTATTCCCCGCTCGACGTCTTTCCAAGATCAACGTTGACGAAGGAACAGGTGACACCCACTAACGTTCATGTCCTTGTCTCAGTCCTCGACGACCTGCACATACAAAATACATGGACATGCATGTGCAAAGTTTATCAAAAGTTCGTCAAACTATATATGTGACCGAAGTCTGAACATGAAATTTTATCTTGGCAAAGATTCTTTGCGTTTTAGAGTTTTGTCGTCTCGATTTGTATTCTTGACTGGGACCGATGGATCGATCAGCACTAGGACCCGAGAGTTCAATGCAAATTTCAAATACCAGAAGGCATGTCATTATAATGTGGCTGTGCACGCCCCTCTTTCGTTTCCTGTCCGCGACCCAATGAACGACTTATTCACAATTTACTTCGTATTTACTTACGTCTGCGAACCACTCGCTGGATACACAACGCTCCTTTTTGGCCCTGTCGGATCCATGTCTCCATTCATGCTCGGCATAACTTTCTTATCCTTCCTACTTGCACTGCTTCATGTTCGCCTGGTGCAAACAGTGTTGTCAGCACACAAAACCGACCCCCCTGTCCATGATTGCCTTTTGTTTCAGTGCAGGGATGGGTTCAGGATCCCTATTGGTCTCAATCGAATCTCACTATCACGACAGTGAGTATTAATCGAGTGTCCTAGTATCTGGATGACGCTAATTACCGTGATATTACACACTGCCGCTCAAAGGACGGTTGGGATTTATGGCATTGCCGATGTTTGCCTGCCTATTCCTTTGCATGATCATTTTCTATCGTTGGTCACTAGGCTACCTGCGCTGACAGGCAAGATTTGGGGTCACTTGGGAATGTTCATGATGTTTTGCTTTCATGGCGTCCACCATGTATTGCAACCCACACTGACAATCCAGAAACCCTCCCTCAAACACTCTCCGAGTCATCCACTGAACATCGTCCCATGTCACTGTAATTTCAGGGGGTACTAATATACTTCCCCAACCTTATTACCTGGTACGTCGCTGATCTTCTTGCTGATTCCAAACTAAATTCATTCTCCTATTTTTCAGATTAAGACCGTAGAGAGAGAAAATCAGATGAAGAATCTTGCATTGGTCTCCATGTGTAGAATACAACTACGTAAGAAAGTGTCATTAGGATGCTATTGTTTGTGACCATGGATGCAGCGGATGTCAATGAGCACTTGATAATTCCACTGTTCGCTTTTTCTTTTTTGCTATGGCGGTGACCACACCACAGCAGAAAGCGAGAGTAACCTCTTTTCAAGTCTCCACCTGTTTCGGTCTTGGTAGCCGCTCGAGTCACGCGCACGTGTGATACCTGCAGAAATTTGTATTCAACATTCACAATATTTGATTTAACTGCAGCCTAGGAGCCGTCACCCTCATGCCAGTGCACTAGTCTTTGATGTTACTAAGTCAACCCTTGCTTGGATAGTTGCAAACTCACGTGGGACGACTACTGGCATTCAATGAGCTTCAAAGTGCAGTACATGATTCCCCGACACGTTCATCTCCTTATCGCTCTGCACTTCTGCCTAGTACCAAATCAGAAGTGTAGTATTCACTGTTCATATTAAAGAAGCTGGGGAGCCATGCTATTAGACTGCATTGAATTCGTCAGTCCGTCACAGAAAGGGGGGAATACGTTAAGCAAACAAGATCCTCACTTAACGAGCACATTGCCCCTGGACGATGTGTCAATGAGAGTTACCCGATGTTAATGTTGCACATACCTATTGGCCATAGCTTGTTTGTGTGCCAGTCTTTTGTCAGTAATAGCTTTGCTCTCTTCGTTGACAACAGTGATAATCTCTCGTGCTAAACGCTCCTTCCCCGTCTTCCCGCTCTTGTTTTTGCTAGCGACCAGTACAGTATGAACACCCGCCCATATACGCTGTTCTCCTGTAAACACACAGGTCTCACGACGTTGTTTCCTGAGTGCTTCTATGATATGCACTTGACAGCGGGGGAAACGGTGATGAGAACATACAGGAGGATAGGTAGTGGCGGCGCGGGTGTAAGAGCGTGAATATAAAGGAGAGTACAGGAGACGATGCGCTCTGCCCTTGCACACTTTCCTTGCTTAAGCAGAGGAAATGAAGAAGGGGGCCAGATGCTGGCGGAATGAGCATTTGTGAAGTGTCTGGAGTTAAATTCTGAATTGGGGGCGTGGGGGGAGATAATATATCTGATAGCGATAAAATCTTTAGGTCGAGGCCTGATTATGATGAAGACCCCATTGGAGAGTCAAGTAACGCTGCACTCTGGTTGAGTGTTAGTTCATCGGTAGTAGAACTATTAGCATGGCAAGCAAAGACTGGGAGCGCGCGTCTCAGCGTGACAATGGATGGAGGTATGCGTTGAGAACACGAAAGAAACAAGTACCTTGACGCGTCGTTACTAGGCGTATCGTCACTAACGATCACGAAGAGAGCCGAAAGCAAAAAAAAAATCCAGCACAGATTTGACCGACGGAAACAAACAGAGCACTAGGAAAATGTTGTGCCACTGCTCGTCATTGGTTCTTCAGAAGGTAGATGGCGTTATCTCTGTCACTCGATGTATAATTGAAAACAAACTTTGTTTGGTAAAAGAGTTTTGTCTCAAGTATCGAGCAATGATAATGCGTCGGAATAGAGGCAGCGTGCTGCGTTGAGCAAGTTCATCCATCTGGTCTCCCCATGATTTACCATATCGAGCTGCCCTTAGAAATAGCTACTGTGCGGTCACTCGGAGTAGCCACAAGGAAGAGAGGTACCTTGGCGGCAGGAGAAGACGTCTAATTGTGCAAGTGGCGACAGAGAACGCTGATGATGTGGGCAGATTGAAGTGTGGACCAGCTTCAAACAATAAGTAAACAGACGCGACAAGGCGTGTTATTTACGTCTGTTGATTCCACATTCGTTTCAACACAAACCTCCTCCTGCTCCTACATATTTGGCATCGATAAACCCTAATGGGCCATTCTAACGAACCAGGGATCCTTTCAAGTGTTTTCAGTTTTGTCTCGCGAGAGATTGGCGAGTTTGTGACAAATGCTACCGGTAAATCTGAGGTACGTTCTGTTTTCTTTAATTTTAAACGAATTAAACTCAATTGATCACTGGTACAGTCTGGTCCATCCAAACGGAGACAAGGACGTGGTGCGAAATCTAAAGAGCGGGGTAGGCAACGAAAAGGCTTTGATGGGGGGATGATCGAGCAGTGGAGAGAGGCTAGCGATAGCGAGAAGCACCAAGATCGAGTCTACGCCGGTGAGTCTTATCTCTAGTGTCTCATCCAACACCACCTTCGATACGATACTGATCAATCCTCTACAGAAATAATGCCTAGAATGACCTCCCGCTCCCCATCTCCACGTCGTACCAGCCATTCAAGAAGCAGAAAAGTGCGTCCTCATCCTCAAGATGACACGCCCTTCCCTTCATCACACTCTGAAACAATATACCCCCAACTCCGCAAAAAACCCTCCATCACAATGCCTGGCTCACTTTTCCCTCGGTCAGATTCGCTCCAACCCGATTCCGTACCTCATACTGCTCAATCCACTTTCGACGTTGACGCACAAGACTCGGAACCTGGCCCCTCCAATTCTCAACACGAAACCCCCGTAGACCAATCTGGCCCTTCACCCTGGCGCACCCGCCCCATTGCCTCCGTCCACGACGCAGTTCAGCGATTCACTGCGAGTGGAGGGGAAGAGAGGGATTTTTCGCTATTGGTTGTCGCTAGCCCTACGGGTCCTGTAGATCCGGAGAGCCCAGGCGCTGTATTAGAAACGCCGCATCCACCCCTGGGTGGTATTTCGCGGAAGGGGAAAGAGCGTGCTATTGATGATGGAGACGAGGATTTAGCATTTATACTCGATCATCATCGCGTGCAGGATAAGGAAAAACTGCTTGATGCTGTACGCAGGGAAACGGGAGCGAGGACTGACACCACGAGTAATGGAGAGCGGGATAGCGACAAGGAGCGCATTAGAATGTTAGAGGAAGAAGTAAAGATGTTGAAGGAAGAGGTACGTTGCGTCGATATTTCTCTGTATTTCTGTTTTTGGCACGGATATATGCTGACATTTTCTGTTACAGCTCTCCCGTCGCCGCCGTTCGCCACCTCCCCAAACCCAAGTTCCAATACCACCCCCACCCCCACCACTTCCACCTCCTCCCGGCGTCCGCATCCCACTCCCTCTTCATCTAAGCGAGAGCAGGGCCCTTTTCGCAAGTGCACGCGCTGCCTTACGCCCAACCGAGTCCAGTACGATCGGGAGCACACATGATCTGGCAAGGTCAGCAAGCGGTAAGGTGAGACAGCCAACCGTCAACGTTCCCAGCGATAAAATGGCTGCCTTCCTGAACGAGATGAGGACGGTGCGGTTGAGGAAAGTGGGATCTGGACCTGGGGGACTGAGTAGGAGCGTTAGTGATCAACCCGTGGTCGATCGAAGTGTGAGTTCGAGTGCGACTGGAGTAGATAGGCGGAGAGAGTATATGGCGAGGCGTAAGTCAACGGGCGCGAATGCGCCTGTTGGTTCGATTGCTTCCGTCCTTGCTTCTGCATCGAACTCTTCGAGACCAGCTTCTTCCAGCGGGAGTAAAGCGGCGTCAACCTCAAAATTACCTTCCTCCTCGAGCATTCCCAAACCGAAATCTATTTCAACCACATCGAAACCATCATCCTCATCAAACGCAACCCGCCTAGTCATAAATAACAAACGCAAGGCGGACGTCCTAGGCGACTCGGAAGGAGGGTCGACTTCTAAACGACGTTCAGGTACCCGTGCGCAAGCCCAATCAGACACCAGCTCTTCATCATCATCCTCCAGAGCACACGAATTCTCCTCCGACTCGACACACTCAAATCTCTCACTTACAGGTCCATCGCACACCAACCACTCACTATCGAATGAAACAGACATCACCACTCCCTCTTTATGTTCTGATAACGAGCTTGGAGGAGACGCAGATGGTAGAATGCCGTCGACGCCGCCTGGACCGAGATCTGCAGTTCAGAGCGCACATGATGAAGTTATAGAGATTATCGATGTGGATATGGAGGACAACAATGTCGATATCGAGCCTGCACATAAACCTATCACGCCCTCCCGCCCACACAGTGATATGTTCAGAAAACGCCCACCGATGTCGCCGCTGCCTGTACCAACGCCAACGAGGGCGCAAGCGCCTGCGCGCATCAAGGGGAGGAAATCCCTGCCGACGCCTGAGAGGACAAAGAGGGGTGCGACGCCGAAGCCGAAGAGTATCATGCTGCTCGACGAGGATGATGATGACGACGAGGAGGATGAGCCGGATGAGCTGGCGTTACCTCCGAAGTTGAAATGGCGGCGCGAGGCTCAGCCCAGAGTCCCGGAGAAATCGATCGCAGCGAATAGCAAGGGCAAACGGCGACTGACGTTAGACGAAGAGCTTGCACGGGCAAGGTCGTCTGATCGGCTTGTGGAGCTTGGATTGGAGAGCGGGGAGCTGTTTGGGACGGGTATAGGGAGTAAACGACGAGGATTTTTAGCTGGGGGTGGGGCAGGTGGGGCGCCTGTGTTTATGGGCGCAGGATATGTTCGGGGTGTCGAAGAGGATGAACTCCTGCCAGCGTCGAGGATACCGCGGCGAAGAGGCTAGCATGATAATATTTATTGTTATCTTTATCGTATTCCCTTGACTCTCGTGTTATTTCTTGTATAGCTAGCTATGGTATCTGTTCTCTCTACCGCAGAGGATGTCATAAGTATTTAATCAGGAAAACTAACGATAATAAGTCTTTGAGGGATCGCATTTGATCACGTTGCAGGATCATTAGAAATGCACATCACACCTCTGTTATACGGTGCTCTGCAACTCCACGTGCACGCATCTGCTCCGTCTGATCGATGAGAAGGCATACCAAAACATCATTTTATTATTAGTCCATCGAATTGGCACCCGCCCCGAATTTCCTGTTCTCCAAGCTGATCCATGATCTCTTCTTTGGATGCTTCGACCTATCCTCAATCAAGCGGATCAACAGCGGAGGTGAAGCTCTTGTTTCCAATATCGCACATGATAAAGTTTGGCAGGAGCCCTGCGTCCTTTGTGATATCCGCTGGGTTTGGGATGTCAAATGTTATCCTCTGTCCCTTCAACACTCCCTCCACAACAGCCACAAAGCATCTGGTGAGCCGCACGATTAATGGGGAGGCTTTCATTGATGCGTGAAATGCGGCAACACATGTTGGTGTTTGAAAGTTTAAAGGGAAAATGCATATAGTGGAGGCAGCGAGAGGGCGGGTAAGGGTGATGAGTTATGCGTGGGGAGGTGAAGCTTAGCGCTTAACGTGAAGGGGCCAATTTGAATTCTGAGTATGAGCACGTCGTTTTTGGGTCGCAGTGTCAAAACGCGATCAAGGCACAGATGGTCGATGCCGACAGGTTGTGTGGGTTGGTGGGCGTTAGCCTTTGGATACTTGAGAATGTCTCAATAATGAGACGAGGAACGGTGGTCTCCGTATTGTTTCTGTGCAATATTAAACACAATGGTTCACGCATCCGCTGGCACTCGAAGCAAAACTGAAAAATGAGCGAGGAATAAAAAAAGATGAATGCTAAAGGCTGAGTATACAACATATCAGGGCCATCCAGATACGCCACCAACAGGTACACAACAACACTGATGGGTGGGAAATAGAAATGCCCTAGCACAGGAACTTGTCAATGCCATGGCTGTGAGAGGCTGCGAGTCTATAAGCAAGGAGAAGTAGATTGAAGAGAGCATATCTTGCACAACAGCTGTACTCGCATTGTAGTATTTTCTCTCTCTATCATCGATAACCTCTTGGTAATACCAAGTCTCATTCGAACTTCCAGCGCGGATGAACTGACGATCAGCTCTACCACAGTCAAAATACTCGTTAACGATCTTAAAAGAGACTATCAACATTAGGCCTACAACACAAGGAGAGCTCACAGATCCTACAAAGAATACCCTGCCCATACTTGACTACTTCACTGTTTTACTCACGGAGACGCAGCCATGGCTTCCACATCAACGAAGGCGGCCGCCATGAAATCGAACCTGAAACCAGCAATGACTCTGCAGGGTCATGGAGAGTACATTCGATGCATATCCTATTTTCCGGATGGCCAGCGAATGATCAGCGGGTCTTATGATAAGACTGCTCGGCAATGGAATCTGAAGGCGGGTAGGGAGATTGAGGAAGCGCGGGATGTTTGCAAGAAGAAAGTCTTGGCAGTTGTAGTATCCAGGGATGGTCGATGGGTTATCACTGGTGGTGGGGATTATAATAGTGCAGAGCTGAAAGCCTGTGAGATTGAGACAGGGATTGTGAAACAACTTCAAGGCCATTCACGGATGATCACCTGCATTGATATCTCTGTAGACAACATGCTGCTGGCGAGCGGGGCACGCGATTTTACAGTGCGGATATGGAACTTGGACACCGGCAAGCTCATGACTGGTCCATTCAAAAGCATAGGTTACATGGCTGCAGTTCGATTCTCCCTAGGCTCGAAGAAGCTCGCAGTCAAGTCGTGGGTGGGAAATTGGCTCGAGGTCTGGGATGTCCAATCGCAGGTGTTGGATGCGAGGATAGCTGGGAAATTTCCGGATAATGGAGGATTCACAAATGCGCCGGTATTCTGGACAAACAAAAACAAGAACATCTTGACTGGATTCAGCTTCACCGACGACGATGCCAGGACAATCTACGAGTTCGACGCATCGACACTGCAGACTGTCGGTGCTGCCTTCGAAGGGCACACCAATACTGTCACCGGTCTAGCACTCTCATTTGATGGCACTTTCCTGGCTAGTGCTGGTGAAGACGACACCATCAAGCTCTGGGCTTTTGAGTCCCGCCAGCTCCTTGCTTCTTTCGACGTTCGGAATCCCAGGGTTCTTGTCCTCTCACCAGACTCGCGCAAACTAGCTTACACGACCGTGTCACACTCCGAAGATGATTACAAGATCTACATATGCAACACTCCGCCTGACGTCCTTGCTCAGGCCACTGTACGCAATCCCCGCAAACATCCACTTTCTGTGTGCTAACATTCCCTTGCGGATCATTACATGCAAAAACTTGAAGCCCCCCAGTGATCTACTAAATGTGCGGGTTTCATCTTTTACTCATTATACCACTCATTGATCACTATCATTGCAGTCTAATGTAACTCTCCGTCCTGCTGCTGGGCGCTGCAGACCACCAATACCTACCACACATTTGGTGCAGAGACCTCTGCCCGCAATAGACCTGCAGCAACCCATGTTCGCTCGCCTTGGCAAACTTCTTCGCTTCTCTTTCACGAATGCATTACGACCTGGTCAGAAGGATCAACCTCGTGATCCCTTAGATGCGAGTCTCTTTCTCTCATTTCTTTTTTATTTGATTCGACGCTCGTATTACAGTTCTCTGCTACGTTGCCCCTACCCATCCCTCTCTCGGGGCATACCTCAACTCAGGGGCATTCAGATGTGAATTCTGTTGAGAACGTGAGTTTCGACTGTTTCTCATTGCATTTTCGACTCACTCTTTTCAGTATCGATTATTGTCAACCACTCGAGCGCCCACAATCCTACCCACCACATTCACAGCTCTCATACACTACCTAACATCCTGGTGGCCCGTTCGTGGAGGTCACGCACAGCCGTCTGTCGTCGACATACCTCTCGCGCAGGCTCAAGAGGCACATTCTGTTCATTCTTCTTATTGTATTCAATGTCTAATGTATGGATTCACAGCGCAACGTTGCAGCGGATGCTCCCAAAAAAGATGAAGATATAGTACCCATTGAATATCTCGACCCTCCCACACCGAACCCTGATTCACAACAATCAGCCGCAGTAGCACATCCTGTCACTGGAGAGCATGGAGGCGAGCGGTCATGTTTCTGCTTCTAGCGTGGTGCCATTGACATTTCCTGTGGTTATAATTGTTAACTCGCATCTAGTGCTCTATGGACGTGGATACGTATGTTCTTTGTAACTTTAGACTTCGCCTTGTCGCTGATATTTTGAGTACATAAACGAGCCACGTCCAACACATGCTCAGTAAGCTATGTGCCAATGGTGGTTCTTTGCCATTTTGTGAGAGCTCCTGGATCAAACAAGGTCTGTTTTTTGATTATTAGTGTTTCTGTGAAAAATGAGCCAATTCAACTTCCTATGTGGCAGATCTATTACGTAGAAAACAATTAAAATCAGCTCATGGCCAATTTTCTGATGTAGGAGACTACTCAGAGAGCCGCCTAAGCACCTTCCCGTTACCTTTATCTACCATGCAGAGGGTATCTGATCCAGTTACATCAATCTTCCAGTTGAAACCTAGGAACGGACACCTTGCCACCTGCCCGCCAGGGGGTTCAACTATAGTTTACAGCGAAAAGTTCAGATTGGGTGGCGTTTTGGGCTGCAGTGCGCAAAAGGACTTCGGGCTTCTGCTAAAGTGAAGGTTTACCTCCATTACACCAATTGCTCGTCGGCGACAGATGCCGCCATGGTGACTGTTTGCCTTAAAGATGGGTTCCTTCTTTTGACAGCAAGACAGTCTCAATTACTGACTTTGGTCATGGGCCTCTCGCACTTCTTGGCTTGTTCTCACTGTCCACTACTGCTACACACTCTGACATGCGGTTTACGGTCACTGCGAAAGCAAACTTTGCTCCAGCTATCGCTGACCCCCTCATCAATACTGCATCTGCTCTCAGGTGGTCCATAAACGACGGTGGATTCATCGACACCAACTATGCCATGTCCAAGCGTAGGACTTGGAGATCTTCTGGAGAAACTCATTTCGTATTTGCGAATAATACAGTTTTAGACCACGGTGTCGGCATTGCGCCAGTTCCCCCTTGTTAGTGGTTTCTCATCTTACCTGATGGGCGAATGATAATGGAACTATCCTTTAGCATCTCCCAACGAGAATTCCTTAGTCGTTCACTACCAGACCGAATCTAGGCCGACGAGGGACGCCGAGCTATATCGGGATTATGACCTCGACAGCGACATCGAGGAACAAGAAATAAAACAAGGAGCGCCTAGCCAACCTCCGCCTTATTGTAGTCAAAGCTATTCCTCTGGGGCGGCACCCGCTGAGTCCGATTTTTCTGATACCACTTCTGATACCAGTGCTTTAGGTTCGGATGATGACAGTGGGTACTGTTTCCTTGTCCCTGTGCTTGGGTGATTTCTCATACTGAGTCTGCTACTTAGACCTTGGCTGGACGGAATCGGCGGTTGCGTGGCCTCCAGGTTTCTATTCGACGGACACATTGACCGCTGAGCCGCTGTCTCGACCCTTTTCTCCAACTCAGGGTGTTAGTTCGGAACACAGCATTCGCGACGCGAGCTACTAGTACAGCTACTCTGAATAGCTCAAAGTGACTCAAATTGTTCGTGCAGCTGGGTATGCTACACTGGCCAAATTTCTTTCTACCCTCTGAAGTCCAAAGGTCCGCTCAGCCGATGCAACAATACAACTCAGACTTTACGCTGCTCTCCGTAGATCTCAACTTTCATCGACTTCTCTCCAGCGTCCGGTACAAATGAATGACACCTCGACAAGCCTATGACTCCATCCACGTTCCTGCTATGACTCCCGACACCAGCTTCTGGTGGGTAATCCCCCTGCATATCTGAATAGTCCACAAAGGCGACGTGATCGGACTTCGAGCTCGATCCCCTAATCAGTAGCGAGTAGCACTGTGACGAATGAGAAGTGCCTACGGTCTTCTCGTACCCAGAAGGATAATGGTGATTTTGTATTCTCGCTATAGAAGTTTCTCCTCATTCTGCCGATTGGCACGTCTGCACTGGAGGTGAACCTTGCTACCTTGTGACCCACGAGCTGATATATTCTGACATGGACCATACAACCTCAATATCACGACTTCGTCAAGGACGCAGGCGACTGTTGACAAGCACCAGCGTAAACGTCGGAAATTGTGGCACATTCCAGGAAGTTAATGTTGTTTCCAACCTCCTTGCAGACCTGCCTGCGAACGATGCTTGCAGGAACAATCAGAACTTCAAGCCAATGGTAACTCAATACTGCGAGTCGTCGTGCTAGTCTGGTGAAATGTGTAAAGAGCCATTGCAGAGGCATCCTCAATCTGTCATGATACCAGCGTGTAGCACGCTGGAGCTCCTTCACTCACTGCTGATGATCTCGTCAAATTTCAGACGTGAGAATGAGTCGACCAGCACGTTCTTGTGTCTCTGTATGTGCGAGGTTGTAGCCACCGAATACATACGCTTTGAACAAGAGACTGCGGCTGCCATGAGTTTTCGGTACGTGCTCACATGAATCAGCAGCAACATGTGAATTTTACCCAGTCTGCTCTTCAGCACATCATACAGTTGGACAACTATAAGACATGCAGCTCTCAGCAACCAACATCCAACCCCGCAGCTGTGCTTTTTCTGAGCTGGAGAGCTCAGGATGTTACTGGCGACACGGTCCAAGTGATCGCGTGCGCATCCAGAACGGACAGTGTCACCTGGTGGGAATGAGAGTGCTGTGGTTTCGAGTTTCGCTCACTCTTCATCAATTTCGTGCTTCCATGCAGCTAAGCCGGTCGCCTTGGGAATTGGAAGTTGTTGTAACATTCTTATTATTCTGATATCTGGAACGCGACACAATTCGACTGACTGAAATAAAATTTTCAGTGCTTCGATGGAATGGTGATACTCCGATGTGTCACGGTGTTCAGGCTGAACACAGCCCGCACAGGTTACGCCATGATCACCAAGGACGAGTCTGATCAGCAATAAGGTGCACGTGCGTCTTCTCACGTGCAAGCTGATCTGATCGCTATAATATGAGCGCTTCGAGGAATGTTCAAAGACTCGCTGCATCCTGACCTCGTGGCTGAAACAAGCGAGTGCGACCTCCAAGTATGTGGTGCAATCCAATGGTTGCGTTTTGTATCTTTATCCACGACCAAAGTTCTTATCTATACACGCACCATTGATAGGCCAACGTGAGTGAGAACCCTTCCGTATACTGATGCTGTATTCTATATATTGATATCGTGATTAATTCCACAAATATTCTATGTAGAAGCTTGAACTGCGCCTCCACACAGCATGATGCTGTCAAGTACATTTATAATTCAGCACTACTTAATCTCAGACCTGTGACAGACCACTAATCTCCTACAACTGCCCTCCTTCGCACACGGCAAGAAATGGACATGCAACTATGCTCTGGTCTTCTGGACATCGTTTATTCATCCAGTTCGACTAACAGCTTCGGTGCACGGCATCCTTCCGCTCAGCCAATCCCCCTAATCCCTATCCCGGACCTAACTAGGCTTATCACTCGATGTTACCAATACCCGATTTCTGGTGGCGCATACGGTGATATCTACAAATGTGTATACCACGGACCAGGTGGCAATGTAGAGGTTCGTGCCAGTATCACAGCTATTCCATGTTTGGTGACGTTTCACTAACCCTCAGGTCGCCGTCAAAGCAATCCGGCCGTTCTTCAGTGATGATGTATGTTCCATGCAATCTGTAACAGATTTATCTCATTAAACATTCTTAGGTGCTCCGGAAAGAGCTTGGAATCTGGAAGAGGTTGCAACATTTCAATATATTGAAGTTCATGGGTACCACCCGAGACTTCGGCCCATCTGAGGCTTTGGTTGCTCCGTGGATAGTCAATGGCAATCTGACGACATTCCTCAACCAGAAAAAGACCCTCGGGCTACGTGATCGTCTGCTTCTGGTGAGAACTTCAAGGATGTTTCTAGTTTGCACCCTTGAGCTCATCATTTTATGCACAAGCTCCGCGATATCGCTGCTGGCCTCGACTATCGTGAATGAATGCATGTACATGGCAAAAATGAAAATGAAAAACAGTCTCCCTTAGTTCATACATTCAACGTCAATGTAGACGGATACACGTACTTGAATGCAGTCATTCATGGCGACCTTACTGGTGTAAGGACACTCATTAAATATAGCCCCCTGTACTAATGATGAATTATAAGACCAACGTCCTCGTTGATGGCGATAGAAGGCATATCTTGCAGATTTTGGCCTTTTGGGAACCTTGACACAATTGCCTGGCATGACGTACCTTGCGAAGATGAGCTGTCATCCAGGAGCATTGAGGTGGACAGCCCCTGAACTGTTTTCTGCGGAAGAAGTCACATCAGTCTCTGCGGTTACCACGCAAAGTGACATTTACTCACTTGGCAGTATCGTTCTTCAAGTAAGCCGTTCCCTCTTTCTAGTGTAGCCTATTAATTTGTCCTCAGGTTCTGACGGGAAACATTCCTTAGCCTCACTTAATCAATATGGCTGCAATCTTGCGTAAAGTGATCTTTGAGGAGGAAACTCATCCTCGTCCAGACGATGATCGTGTCACTGATCAGCACTGGAAGTTCATAAGCTTGTGCTGGTCTAAGGAACCAGATGCTCGCCCTTCTGCTGAAAAAGCACTTCAGTTTATTGATAGTGAGCTTGTTTTGTACGACCGGGGCAGCATCGATGGTGGACAGCACCCTGCCTTGGTTCCCGTTCCTGGATATACGCCTCCAGCCATTGGTCTAGTAGGCCAGAGTCTACCTTTTGCCTCACCATCTGCATGTGGACGTTGCGCACTTTACGGGTGAACTATGCGTCACCGACCGGTCTGTTCTAGTCCCAGGGGGTAAAACGGCGTGTTTTCAAACTCCGCTCTCCCGAGCTTTTACATTACTAAATATTTAATCAGCTTCGCAAGTCTTGCATCGAGAAAACAAGATAGGAGGAGCGCGACACTCTCAGCACTAAAGCTCGAGAGTGTCCGCCGAGAAATAACTAGGTTACCGGGTAAGCTTTTGCCCCTGAGTTAAATGCTTTCAGACACCGTACACATCAAGTTTTAACTAAGAAGGTCTTACTGGTCGATCCTCCCCATGCGCTACCGTACCTGGCACGCCATAATACATATCCATTAGCAGCTTTTGTATCCAGCCACCGCGGTTCGCCTGCCTCGGATCTCTTGCATAAGGCCTCGACCTCGACAACCTCAGGAATCCCAAAGAAATGGGGAGGTTCTTTCGTCTTCAATGTGCCTCATACTGGACAGCAAAATGCTCGAAGTGCAGGTGGCCTCTAAGGGCGAACTGTACGTCATCAAATAGTCTTGATGGTTTGATACTCATTCTGAGGCAGGCACACGACTCAGCAGAATATTTATCAACATCTGAAAGAAAGAGCCGAAATACCGCACGAAATTACAGGCGTGGCTTCATAAATACCAGCACTTTGCCGCAATGGTCCAGTTCGAGCCCCAAATACGGGACATCGAACAACATCCTTGCTAATGTGTTGATGGAACACCATGGTGAAAACAAACAGTGAATGTTTCCTCCCTAACATTTCAGGACATTTATATTTCTCTCTGGACTGGGCCAGCCAATATTTCGGTGGAGGTGTTAGCGTGTATCATTTGTTGTTATTTTAACATGTCGCTTTCATTCTCGTGTTATTCCTCGTACAACTATCAAAAGTATATGGTCTCTTCTATCGCCTTCGCCGCGGAGGAAGTCGTAAGTTAGGAGAACTTGCATGACGAAAACATCGTGGCTTGAGGCCTTTCCGACTCGTTCACTTGAATAGGAGGAATGGTCTGCAACTAAGTCGTGGAGAATGTTCGGTTCCCTAGTCCGGTTCTTTATAAATCTTCATGTCCCACCCAATTCTTGTGCCACTATGTACTCTTCGTTATTCGAAGTCAATACGCTATCGGTGTCACTTGGTCTAACGGCAGTGCTAGCAGGGGTGCTGTGTTTAAAGGCGACCCCATCACACGTTATGGCTCTCTCCTCTATCATCTCAAAGCCTACACAATCTGACTCTGAGAACTGCTTACGGGACATCCCAACGCATGTGCTCAAGCGCCTCACTCCAAAGTCTAGAGCATGCGTCGAGCGTCTGAAGACATGTCAATTAGATAGACCTGACCTGTAAGTCTCATCGCATGCTTATTGCTCACCACCACCCATGAATGCGCATGCAGCTCTCGACAACCAACCTCCAAACTCGCAGCTGTTCTTGTTCTACTATATGAGCAGGCTGGAGAGCTCAGAGTGTTGTTAACGACACGGTCCAAGTCACTGCGTGCACATCCAGGACAGACAGCGTTACCTGGCGGGAAAGCAGACGAAGGAGATGAGAGTTTAGTTTGGACTGCTGTAAGTGCTGTGGTTACGAGTTCGTGCACGGTCTCACCGACTAAATGCTTCCATGCAACTTAGCTTCGCGAAGCAAATGAAGAAGTCGGTCTTCCTCTTCCGCCCATATCGTCAAATATACATTTTATTACGACACTCCCGCCTTTTCTCTCTGCATCGCAGTTGTTGGTGACGCCTGTCGTTGTGCTTTTATCTTGGCCGGCTCCACTCGTCCCTTTGTCATTGTTATCGTTGACTTCGGATAACTCTTCGAATGCAAGCCCCAACATACCACCCAACTCTTCTTCCCACCCAATCCTCACTTCCCTAACTCCCTCACTCACAGAAGTCGACAGGATATTCGATCATCCACTCGAAGCGATGCTGGACCCCCGTCTCTTGTTGAACAAGGGAGAATCGCTAGTGGATGTGGGAGAGGACTGGCCATATGGTGCTGGGGATGTATATGTGAGTGGTGTGTGCTTTTGTCTTCGATGTTGTATTTTCATTCTGAGTTGCATGTCTGCCACGAAAATCTCGCTGCTGTTTTGTTACCTCCCACCTTTTCCTCATTTCATACTGATTCCATACCTCTTGCCACGCAGAACCCGTCCGACGTTCGCCTGGACGCATTCGATGGACTCATATATAGGATGCACCGGTTCAGAACATGCGCATCTCCTATCAAGGGGCTTACAGCTGATATCTTGGTACGTCTCTTCGTCTTTCTCTTTCTCTATTGCCACATCCTCCACTTTTCCTGCCAGTCACATCTGATGCTAACTCCATACACAGATATCCGTCGCTGAACTCGCATACGGACGCAAGCCCGTCTACGGCCGATACCCATCCGATTCAGGTTCTGGGTCATCACCCGAAGATACGGACTTGGAAGGGGAGACATATCGGGCGTTGGTGAGGAGACGCATGGAAGAGAACGAGAGGGCTTTTGCGGTTGCTGTTGAGGAAGGCGAGCAAGCACGATTGACTGGAAAGGTGGATGGGGGCATTAGGGCTAATGGGAGCGCATTTCTGGCAGGTGCATGATCTGATTCCCTCCATCATTGACTGACCGTAGAATACTTATATGTGACTCGCCATAGACATAGGTACCGTAGTATATGCTGTACACAGCATAATCACTAGTTCTATGCGTGCTATATGCACGTATGTTATGGATCACGTAGCTGCCCTTTCTCCTATTAAAGCATTGTTCTCGAGCTCCAAGCTTCAATAAACAGTCACCTTTCTTGCCAAGGTCATTCTTTTAATGTCGCTGAAGCTTCGAACAAATTATCAGGCTAGTTCGAGAGATGGATATCTCGTACCACACGATGATGTTGTATGTACATCATGTATCAGTAAATATTGTGTGGTCTACAAAATTCTCATCCTTCTTAAAAGAGTTTCAATATTTAGTGCACGGTTCATAACTCGCTGCGCTCGCTCATCACCAGCGACGCCCGCACAGCAACATGCGTATCCGCATACTGCACCATCCCACTCACCATCTGCGCCCAAAGGGCCTAATGAAGGTGGCGCATACGAAGTCGATACGCCTCCAAATGGTCGAAGTGAGCATCACAAGCCTGTCTGTATGGTCATTGGAAATGACGCTATTACATATCTGGGATCCACGAGGGTGTTGCGCCTCCCGCCTCTTAAGCAGAAATAACATGATGGGTCGCCATCAAAGGCGATGCGCTGAATGAAGAGGAGAATGGGAGGGTGAATAGGACGGCTCAATCAGACGCCAACTATACAAGTTAGTGAAAGTGAAACGCACCATTTACGATTCCACCAACTTGCAGAGAAGAAAGCGTTTTCGTAGTAGTGAGCATGTCCGTAGGCCTGCTCGTAGGTCTGGGTGTAAGCTGCGAGTCTATGAAGTCATAGATCTACAAGAGCTATCAGAGATAGCTATGACGAGACACTCGTGGCGTCAAAGGAGGTGTGGCTGGTGAGGACAACAGAACTGACTCATTTGGAGATCGTCCGGAAAACGGATCGTGTCTATGAAATTTCGACGCGAGCTTGACACTGACGAGTTCTCATGGAGCCACATCTAGAGATATCGCGTTGCCACGGCGCATTAGTCGGACGCACAGCAGATGCGTGCTTTTGGGTCAACCCCCCATTACTGTCTGTGTAGAAAAGCGGAGTGATGGATTTCAGTTCAATAACAAAGAACATCACCCGGCCCTAACCTACAGTGCAACAATGAGGTTCATGTCGCTCACCATTATGATTATGTCTGCCGGAGTACTGTTCGGAAAATAGCACTACCCAGGTCGTTGAAGATTGCACCTGTGTGGGGTGTTGTAACGTCGTCAACGGAGGTGAAGGTCCCGGCATGTCCTATAACTGCGCATAAGATGGAAAGGCGAGCCCATTTCTTGCTTGCTGTGTCAATAATGTCATAGTGATAAGTTACAGCTGTCTCCGTGACTGGTGGTAGTGGCGGGAGTTTGGGGCATAGAAATATGTTGTTGAGGCAACGCATTCAAATAAATGAGTGACCCAACGTCCAGCTGCGATATACACATCAGTCTGACAAGCTTGGGCTGCAACCATGTGGGCAACGTAAAAATACTTACCAGACGTCACCGTCACTGCCAAATATTGTGAACCTCTCAGTGAAATCCGGTCCGACGCGACTTACTGCTTGTCACTGGGAACCTCCCAGTGCTTTGTGTTTGTCCCACTTTTACGACTACAATTGATCGCCTTCCAGTCACCGTCTTCCTGGTTGATTTCGAGAAGATGAACATCAGTCGAGCGAGTCGCTACAGTCAAAATAGATGCTGGGTGTGCACATTGGCATGTGCATACCTGTCTTCATTTTGAATGTGGACTCAGATAACATCATCGGGGGATTAGGCCAATATTAAAGTTGCATATGTCAGAACCAAATACAGCCTACGAACCTATAGACACAATGCATGCAATGTCCAACATAGGGGTCCCCAACGGACAATAAACTAGGATACAAAAAAAATCATCGGGGGATGAGGACGGGTCAAATAATCATTACGTGCGACGAATCCGTCAGGAACACAGAATTGTAGTTCCAGTATACACACCATCTCGTGTTTCTGTGGAAAGGGCAAAAGCAAAGACAGTGCACCAACATAGTACTAAAACTATACACAGCACTTCTGAGTGTCGAAGAGGCTCATGTTATCGTAGTAACCGCTGCGTGAAATTCTAGACATCGGCTGATTGCGGTCTACAGAAAGCTCAAAATATCATCGTGTGGGTTCACACTGTAAACCTGCAATGAGAGTGGTCAACAAACTTCTAGTACACCAGCGCGATGCATACCAGGGAACACAGTATCCTGTCGCCAAGAATCAATTCTAGATGGCCGTGGGTTAAAATCTGTGGAGTGATATTGTGGTGGGGCTCCCAGAAAGTGTTCCGTGTGGGCATTTAGGTAGGAATGAGAAGGAGAAAAAGCCTCGGAATGGGTGAGGGGCAGAGAAAGAGAATCAGGGTGGGAAGAGCATGGAGACAGACTAAGGTCATCACAAGCAGAGGTATCTGCAATTAGACAGCCATTCAACCGCAGAAAGCTCAGTTCGTGATCAACAAACTGAAGTGCTTCTGCAGCAGAAGGCCAATCGGTTGGTACTATAGACCAGCAATGGGTCATAAAATCCCAGAACTTGTCAGCGACACAACCGTCATCTGGACGAGGATGCAGTTCCCGCTCTACAATCACTCTGCGCAAGACTACGGTTTCACGAGTTAAATGATGCCAAGGTATATTTCCTGTCAAAACCTGCAGGACGAGTTAGTGCGCTATATTAGCAAGAGGGAACTGCTTACTTGGAGAAAAATGTAACCAAATGAGTAAATATCGCTCTGAATAGTGATTGCAGGGGCTGGTTCTTCCTCAACAAGAAGGTCAGGAGCTGTCCACCTCACTGCTCCTGGACAGCAGCTCAACTTTGCGAGATACATA